TGATGATCTCTTAGATGCTATTTATGCCATTCTGATAACTTGGATTATTATGCACTGCAGAGATCTCTTCAATTCCAGGATCACAATGACCAATATATAATTACCAAACAGTTGTAGTTGTATGACCAAAATATTAGTTAGAATGTAACTATATTCGATGATGGCTGATAAAAAAACTAGATTCAATAGTGATTGTTGGATAAGACAAAGTTGTTGACTACTTATTCATGCAAGAAATCATAAGCATCCCCCATAATTTTGGCAAGTTAATTCTAGATTTCTGGCTAAGTAGCATTATCCATACATGACCCAAAATGAAATAGGTCCTTTGGGAGTGCAAAGAAACCTCCACTTGCACTGAAGTTGAATTTTGGAGTGGCAAAGTTGTACCACTGAAGTTGTGGGTGTACAGGGTAGCAAGGGTTTATCTCTTCACCACATAGCTGCCTCTGATGTTCTATATTTGAAGGAACTTTGAACTTCAAATATTAGGTGAAGACTCATCATTGAGAATGATCTCTAAGTATGAAAAAATAGGATTATTCAAGACAAACCATTTATGTAGAAACACCTGTCCAACAAAATCATTGAGCAATTATTCCATGGATCAGTCATAGCAATATGGTGTTTTTTTAATATATTTTACTTCTAATTCTATGTGCCTGATTGTGATATAAGCATGCCCTTTTCTAGTTAGAAATTAAAACAGTATAAACAATTTTATTAGGTCTAACAATTTCCTGTTTTCTTCAATGTAATTTTATGATAGAAAACGTTGTATTTCATTTCAATGTGGTTTCAAATTTCACTACACTAAAACTGCTTAGTGCTTACCCCATTTTGATATTCAATTTTCTAATTTTTATCATGTGTTCTGTCTAAAAATGTGTTTTGAATTCAACATAGCTGTATTGATAATATTACTACTGTTGTTATTTGTTGCTATCTGTTCCTGAAATTTTATGTGCATATTCTTAACGCAAGAGGGAATTTGGATCATAATCCCAAGTGATGGATGTATTCACAGAAGGTTTTGAGAATATGTGATACATGAAATATACATTTGCAAAGTTCCCAAGTCTTGTAGATCTGAAAAATAGGATCTGATTGCACAAATGTGTTAAGATAGTATGTGGTTTTGTCTACATCCTTATTCCTTATAGCCATTGCATGATATGCTATTATAGCGAGTCTCACAACTCTTCTTTCTACTACTATATCATCCTACTGAATCTTCTTATTAAGTATCATATCCTCAAGAAAGTAAAATATATCCATTGTAAATCAATCACTAATAAATAAAGTATCACTTTGTAACATATTTATGGGTAGGAGGATTAGTATGATGATTGCCTCTTTTATAACTATATACAGTATACTCATGTCTTGAATATGGCTACATGTGTGTTGCGAGGGCTTAACACTAGCATGTGACATGTGGCATGTGCCCTAATCATGGTTGTTTATAATGATTTTATGTGTTCCACATAGGATTAGAAATGAATTCTTTACTTCAATGTTGAATTTTATCTTCTCTTAAAAAATTATTAAGATTATATTATTCTGACAATTAGGTAAGATGCCCTAATCAAGCCAGGTGTCCAATCAGAAATGGCATAACAAAAAATGATTTGATCATTCATCTCTTACGATTCAGTGCCATTAAAAAAGTAATCATTATAATTTGCTACGTGTTAAGGTAAACCCTTTCGAAATTTAGATGGGCCACAACATTTTTAATCATTCTGAAAGAGAATCTCTAGCTAGAATTAGTCTTGTTAAAGAAGAAAATGATTGATTAGCAATAGTTTCTCTTTGAACTTAATAGAACTGTATTTTTTTCATTGGAAGAATGATTAATATGTTATATGTATGAGGCTTAAAAAAAGCATTAAGTATTGCTTATGATATTCCTTATGTCCTTATTTTTAAGTAGTTTTTTATTAGATATGATTCATTTTTTAATATCTAGATAACATTGAATAATCTATACTAAAATAAGTGTGCGCATTGAATAAGTGTAAGCATGACGATACTCTATCAGCTCATCTAGTTTAATTTGATTATGATTGGATTTGAATACGTTGAAGTTTTGTTATGCCTAAATTTGAGCTCAAGTAACAAAATTAGATTTGATCAATATTTAAAATTTAGTAAGTAACAGTTGATTTGACCCGTTATCACTTATGACATTTGTTTGACATAATGTATATACTGCATTTTGTTGCAACAACCTATCTATTAATATAATTTTATATTTTTAATCGTTTTTAGTTAATTATTTAGGATGCTCTTTTACAAATGATTATTGTTACAATGTGTATATATTATTTTGTATGTTATTGATTTTCTATTTTTTTTTGTCATAGGTAAATTATTAACTAGATATATAGATATATGTATATATATAGCATTTCTCATGTCAAAATTTATATAATCATAGTAATAAAATTACTATGGAGAAAATTTAATCTAATTTGATAATGCATTATATTTAATTGTATCTAAGATCGAGCTCAAGTTAAAAAGTTAGTATGATAAATATTTAGGGTCAAATTAACATTTAAGTCTTGGACTCGACCAAACTTGTAATCACCTATAATTAACTAAATTAAATTGTTCAAAAAAAACAAGAGACAACACATGGGAAAATAGTGTACCCTTGTTAAATTTTGAAGGTGGCTTTGCGGAAAGTGAGCACACAACATTTTCTTTAGAAAAAATAGGCTGTGCACTTTTTTATATCATCAAATTTTAACATTATTAAATTTAACATTATTATTGGATGAATGATATATGGATCACCAATTAAACTCTCTTCTCTTTTCACGCCCACTAAATCATGATACCAAGCTTTGTGTATAATACAAAAATATAATGAGACCTAAAACTCGCCAATTACCCTAATTAAAACGAGTCTCTCGTAGGGAAGAGGGCCCAATGCAACTAATCCTCGTGCCCTTATTCCTAAACACTAAAAACGGATGAGATCAAATATTTTTATTCATGTCTCACTTTGTGTATCAAGTTAATTAGAAAGTTTTATTCAATTAAAAAGAAAAATAACAAATTTAATACATTATATCTCAAGAAAATTATGTCTCAAAATCCTTAACAAATCAAATTTAAATAAAATTATGTCTCAAAATCCTAAACAAATCAAATTTACACAATAATATAATTGATTTCTATTTTTCTTTGAATGAAATGAGACTTTGGGCCATGAATAGACATGTGTGATCCTCAACCATAACATACAAAGAAAATGACAAAAGTTATTATATTATAATTGAGACTGTTCTGGCCGTCGGTGTACATCAAACAATGTTCCCTAAGACAAATGAAACCGATATTGAAGCAAATAACCATGTGATAGAGATAGGGTCCGAAACATATAAGCCACATGAATTCGGATCCATGTTGTATAGGTAATCCTTAAAGCGATGGTGAGAAGCAATAAAGTCCAAAATTCACATACAAACATGATAACGCATACATCAGAATCATCAACAACTGTAATTGTTGATTTGGATTCCTTAGCTCTCTCTACATAGAACTAAAACAACATAATCATAATATCCAAAATAACAAAAAGTTAATAATTCAGGCTAGTATTGATGAATTAATTCTCAGGAGGAGAAGTCCATAAAATGTCTCTGAGTGCAGGACGAAGCTTGTTACTGCAGAACTGATTATACTCCAAAGTATCACCATTATCCTTCTTAACCTCCACCACCAAAAACGACGGCGTTACGGCGTATATATCCGCCGCAATTGCCAACTTTCCCTTCCTTCCACGCTCTTGCCCTTGTAGCCTCACCTTTGTGTCACTACTCTTCACATCGAACTTCACCGCCTTCGCCACCTCCTCCAACCTCGATATCACGCTGCTTGGTGTCCCCGCCGTGGCAAACCTCATCTCCTCCCTCTCAGCCCTCTTCTTCTCCTCAAATAACGGCGACAAATCAAACCCTTCAGATAAAGAGATTATATGAAAAGCATTCATAGTCTTAGACATCTCACACTTCTCCTTCTCCTCCAAATCAAACAACTCATTCTCCTCCTTCCTCCTCATCAAACTCTGAGGCACTGGTTTTTTAAACCAAGATGAGTCCATTATCTTGGATATTGTAATACGGGTATTCGGGTTCGGGTCCAGAAGCTTAGTGATGAATCTTCTTGCTTCTAAAGAGAACCAAGGTGGGGACTTGAAATCACCCTTGTAAATCTTTTTATACATAACAATCAGATTTTCATCTTGAAAGGGTAAGAATCCTGCGAGAAGAACATATAATATGACCCCACAAGACCATAGATCTGCTTTGGCACCGTCGTACCCTTTCTTCGCAATAACCTCCGGCGACACATACGCCGGAGTGCCGCATGTGGTGTGCAACAACCCATCTTGCCTCAAATGCTCCTCCGAGAAAGCACTGAGACCAAAATCAGAGACCTTAAGGTTCCCATCTTCGTCGAGGAGGAGATTCTCCGGCTTCAGGTCGCGGTGGTAAACGCCGCGGCTGTGGCAGAAATCGATGGCTGAGATCAATTGCTGAAAGTAAAACCTGGCTACATCTTCTCCTAACCGTCCTTTAACGACCTTGTTGAAGAGCTCCTCGCCTCGAACGAGCTCCATGGCGATGTAGATCTTGGATTTACTGGCCATGACTTCATGTAGTTGAACAATGTTTGGGTGCTTCACCATCTTCATAACCGAGATCTCTCTCTTCATCTGTTCCATCATTCCAACTTTGATGACTTTTTCTTTCCCTATAACCTTCATGGCAACGTTTTTTCCAGTTTCAATGTTCCTTGCATGGTACACCTTAGCGAAGGTACCGTGACCTAGAAGACGACCTAGCTCATATTTTCCATGGACCAATTTTGACTGAATTTGACCCTCATCACTGTTATTGCTACCTTTGTCACCCATTATGATATAAATAAAGAGAAATAAATGGAAGAAAATGAATTAGGAGAGTGAGTAGTAGTACTACCCGTCTTCTACGTGTTTGCGGTGGCAATTTCTGCCGGCGATGTTGCTCACTTGATGCATTCCAAACACAGACAAAAGAAGTGGAGATAATAAGGAATTAGGTGATATGAACACAAACAATGCAGTGTTTCTGTTTTAACAAGGAATGGTTTCTGGTATGTTCCAATTTATAAAGCTGTTTCTATGAATCTGATGGTTGCTAAGATATGTAATCAATGATGGACACGTCTATGGACCCCACATATCATGGAGCCAATACTCCACTGGGCTTCTACTTTAATATTTTATTAAAAATAATTTAAAATATTGCTGATTGAAAATATGTTTTTTTTATATGTGTCATAATCTCGTAATTATTATGAAGAGGTAATTGCATATTTTTACTTTGTTTTTAATGGTAAATATGAAATTTAATTATAATCAAAATAATATATGTGTTATTTAATATTGCAATTCCCTTTAGTTTTTGAATCATTTGACTCTCCATTGATGGAGATTGTCTTAACTCTATAATCTCATTCACTTTGATGTAGGAACTAGATCTAGATTCCTACTATATTATTTCATGTAGGAACTAGAATACTCTTCACTATGAGTGAGTAACTGATTGTTCTCTTTGTTTTTAATAACAAATTGTAATTTTATTGTCTATTAAATGAATATATGTGTCATTGAAAATTAATATTTAAATAATTTGTCTTTACATTAATGAAAATAGTCATAACTACTCAAACATATATAAGTTAGGCATATTCATGATAGTTATATTTTTTTAAAGATAAAAATGATATCTTGTAAGGAAAGTAATAAAAATATTATAGTATATCGTTTTTTGTTTCAAAATTACTATTTTCTAGAGACTAGAGAAGGAACCTCTCTAGTATATATATAGAGTAGTTATTTTTTGATTTCAAGAGTAAAATATCATATCATAATACTTTTGTTTTTGACAGGAGCATTCCAGAGCTGACTAAAAGATACCTGTAATTTTGGAGGAAAAAAACAAAAGAAAAGAGTGGTCCATTGAATTATATAACTTGTATTATTGGTGCCATGATTTGGAGATGAAATGAAAACTGTGGGACATACAGTGGGCGCACATGCATCTGAACTTGTTTCAAGTTTCTTTAATTTACGTTATAATGAGTGGGAAATATGACTACAAGTCTTGGCAGAAACTTTTATAATATTATTTATTTTCTACATTTGCATGAATAATGAAACTCTATATATATCTCATTCTTAAATTACTTGAATCTCTTTAGCGTTGTTTCAAGTTAAAGCATGGAACTAACACTACTCAAATAAGCTTCCCTAAAAACGATTCAAATACTCAACATTTATTTTCAATCATATTAAAAATTATTTAAAAAAACAACTCATTCCCTTAGCAACCTAGTTAACATGAAAAAAATTGCATATTGGTTGAAGTCTACTGAAAGCACATCATTATTAATTTGTAATACTATTTATGTTATATACTGATCCCACACAGCTAACAAAATACTAAAAAAATTAGCAATTAGCTAAAGGTTTCTACTAGAAAAACTATGAAGTTTAATTTGTTTAAATTATTCCTTAGATAGTAAAACTATTTTTCTTGTAGTTTATGCCAATATTTGCTAGCCAGCTAGCTAATCAATAATAGCTAGAAATTCCTCAAATAATTTTTTTTGATCAGCAAAAATAATTTATTGGAAAGGAGAATGAGTAGAAGAGAGAAAAAAGGAAGAAAAATAAAAGTTAGAAACACAATCTAGAGGATTAGTTATCCGGTCGGAATAGAGAAGTGAATCCAAACCCCTCTGACCTTTGATTCAAAGTCACGATTTCACCCTTGCTGAATTCAGAATTTGATAGAGAGAGTTTAACATTGTTGAAGATTAGATCATTCATAGATAACCTGATTACCCACATTTCTTTAATAATTATTTTGCCATCTGATGTGATTGAATCTTCAAACTAGGCATTGGCACTGAGATTCCACCATGTGAAATTAAACCTCTTTGCATGTCTTCATAGCCAAGTTCTATACAAATTAGGATTAATTTTTGGTAATGTTTTCTCATGTTTTAGTATAACATGTGGTTTATGTTGTTCTTTGCATGTATTTGATATCCTCCATCACATGGATTGCTTCGTGCAGTCACAGTCTCGAGCTGTGTTATTTTTGTTTTGTTCATATGTAGTTTGCTAACAAATTTATTTTGAAAGGAACCTACCATAAATAAAATGATAAATATGGACCCAACAAAAAAATATTTCTCTTATACTATTTTATGGAAAAAGATATCTTCGTTACTGGAGAGATAAGTTATTTTCTTTATGTTACTTTTAAGGATATAAGTGTAATCTCATCAAAATTAAAAAAGACAAAAATAACATTTTATCTTCTACTTTCTTTGATTTTTTTTGGTATTTCCCTCTCCATTAATGGAGAGGAGTCTTACTCCTAGTTTATACACACTAGTTAGAGACACGACAACATTTTATTAAAATAATGCTGATGCTCAGTTAGCTATAGTCGGTCACATGGATAAATAATTAACTGCATCGTAAAAATCTGAAAATAAAAGCATAAAAAATAGGAACTATATGTTACTACTATTATTGCAACTATTGTTGTTATAGATTATTAATTAATGTGTGTCTTGGTCATATGTTAAACATATTTATGAAAGTAAATTTATTTAGTAATAATTTATTTTTTATTTTAGAACACCCGTGTTATTAGATTAGAAAATACATTTGTTGTTAGAGTTTAATATTTATGTCTGCACTAATAGTGTAATCATTTATACACATTCAGTATATTATTCTTCGTTCATTTATACTAATTTTCGAAGAGTCGATAATTATTAAACATGAATGATGAATAATGCAATGATAAGGTATAAAACTCATACACTGAATATATTTTTTTTTGTAATCGTAAAGATGATCACTAAATTAATAATGGACCGTATTCAATCAAATACCTAACAAGCAAAACTAATTAATGCATTATTTCTATAAGTAGTTTTTTTTGTTTGAACAAAGCTTGTGAGTTTTATTTTGAATAAGTCCTGTAATTTTTCTATGTCTAACAGAAAAGTCAATTTTGTGGACTACATAAAAAACTACACATGAGACTTTATTTGTTTTCCACATGTCCCTTTTCAATGTTTGTCATGTATATATTTTTAATGATATATTATGATAATCGACGGAAAAGATTTATTTCTTAAACATATAAAATTTATTTGAAGAAAAAAAGAAAGATATGAAATTGGTGAAATAGAAAAATTAACTTAGAATATTACTGTAATAATTTTGTCAATAAAATGAGGTGATTAAAATAATAGTATAATACAACTAAATCATTAAGTTTGTGTTTGTCAGCAAAAGCCGATTAGAGTGATTTTAAAATATTATAATACATCTAATGAGAACCACAAGTTGCGGATTCAAAGGATCAGAAGCATCATTACAACCAATAAGAAGGGAAAATTTACTCGCATGGTGTAGTTTGACTACACTATGCCAGCTTTAGTATAGTGAAAAAATTAATTATGAAAGTGGTATAACTTTTTGATTGTCATGGATGGGGATCACGACAATCTGTTTGTCGCATTTCAAGCATTCGACAAACTGACAGGAGTCGCATTCCCTGTATGCGAGATTCATGGGGGGTAAGTCACATTTGTGGCATGCAAGATTGGTGTCGCACTGTTAGAATGTGACACCCCTTCATATATATATATATATATATATATATATATATATATATATATCCATCATCCGAGACTATATTCACAGATTCATTAAGGTATGTATCTTTGCACATTTTCTAGTTTTTTTCAACATTTTTTGTATCCATGTTTTTATCTTATACTTTGTTTATACTCATATGTAGATGGTGATTATTAGAGATATTGTCAACGATTTTAGTGATGATGAAAACATTGAGCTATGTTGTGTTGATGATGAAGATTTGGAGCTTGATAGTAGTGAAGTAGCTAACATAACATATGGTACTCCTTCATCATTTTTCGTTACCATTGATTCAGCTGTTGGACAAGATATTCAAAATAGAAAAAATAATTTAAGTAATGATTTTGATAATGAACTGTTTATTGGCATACAATTTGAATCAAATGATGCAACAATAAATGTTATAAAACAGTTTCATATTACGAATTATGTTGACTACATTGTTGTAGAGTCTAGACCGGATAGATTTGTCGGACAGTGTAAATATTTTGGTAGTGGATGTCAATGGAGAATTAGGGTATCACTTAATGGAAAGCGAGATTTATGGGAGATTGGAAAAATTAATTGAACACACACATGTGTATCCACTAGTATTTCTCAAGATCACACGAAATTAAATTCATCATTCATTGCAAATTGTATTATTCACTTAGTTTCGGAAGATCCCGATATACCAGTTAAAACATTAGTACAAGAAATTGTCACTCATTTTGGTTATACGATAACGTATAGAAAGGCTTGGACAACTAAACAAATAGTAATGTCACAAATTTATGGTGATTGGGAGGGATCTTACAAGGAATTACCTCGTTGGTTTAACACTGTCTAGTGTTATGCACCTGGTACAATTGTAAGATAGGCAACATCTCGTCATGATGACAGTAGTAGTTTAATTATTGACTGAGTTTTTTGAGCTTTCAAGCCTTGTATTGAAGGGTTTGAATTTTGCAAACCGATCCTTCAAGTGGATGGGACATTCTTGACCGGAAAATATACTAGAACTTTGTTAATTGCAAGTTCTCAAGATGGTAATAGACGAATATTTCCTGTTGCATTTGCCATTGTCGAAGGAGAAACTAAAGAAGCATGAGAGTGGTTTTTCTACAATGTTCGTATGTATGTAACCCCACAACCGAATATATGTATAATATCACATAGAGGTACATGTTTGTTGGGTGCACTTCGTACTGAGCTTCCTCAATGGTGTAATGCACATTCAGTATATTGTATTCGTCATGTTGCAAACAATTTCAATAAAGTTCAAAGATGGTGACCTTAAAGAAAAAGTTATTCAAATGAGTATGTAGTTAATGTTAAATTTGACCTTAAATTTATTTATATTATGTCATATTATGTAGTTAATGTTAAATTTGATGTATATGTTGTAGGATATGAGTTGATGCAGCCCCGTTTTGAGCGTATGCTTGATGATTTGCGTCAAAAAAATCCAAGAGCAGTAGCTTGGTTAGACAACATCCCAAAAGAAAAATGGACACAATCATATGATGAAGGGAGACGTTATGGGCATATGACGACTAACCTAGCAGAGTGTGTTAATGGTGTTTTGAAATGATCAAGAGTGTTGCCTATCACTTCCCTCGTACAAGCAACATATCATAGACTGAATTCATGGTTTCTTCACCATAGAAATGAAGCAACAAGTATGATAATGGCATATTATATATATTGTGAGGAATTGACTAAGGTGTTAAATGAAAATAACCGTAAAGCCACATGTTAAACAATTCAGAGTTTTTCAAGGGAATCAGGAGTCTTTGTGGTTGAGGTTCCTGGTAGAGACGGTAGTCGACATTCGAATGTATACGCATTAAGACTAAACCAATATTGGTGTAAATGTGGAGAATTTCAGTCACTTAGATTGTCATGCTCTCATGTCATTGCCACATGTTCATCATTGAATTTAGATTACCGACAATTCATTTCACCAATATATCGGTTTGATAACTTATTGAAGGTGTATGGACGTGAGTTTGAACCGATTGGTAATGAAGAATATTGGCCTAATTATTCTGGTCCAATGTTCATTCCTAATTCACTTATACGAAGAAATCGAACTGGAAGACCAAAAACATCACGTATTCACAACGAGATGGACAATTGTGCAATGGAAAAAAAATAAAAAATGTGGCTTATGTAGAAGCGAAAGGCAGAATAGGAAGACATGTCCATTCAAAAATAGTGAAATAGGTGAAAGTTCAAGAAATTAAACTATGATGTAATATATTTTTAGTGAATGAAATATTTTAATTTT